TTTGATGGTTACAGTTGGTAATATTTGTATTTCTATCATATACGCAATTATTTTTTATGATAGGAAAGAGAACAAATTGGGATTGGTAGCAGAAAGCAATAGAAATATAGCCATACAAGTGGATCAAAAAGTTTTGCAAGAAAGCAAAAAGAAATTGTAAGTTTATGATAATTAAGTTATTCCAATGAATGAACTTTTTGTGCCGTTAAAAGGTAAATATGGAAATTAACATTTATTGTTATGTTTTAATAGATTTGATTGTTTCAATACATGATATTAAACTTATTGAAAGTTTTAAACTTAGTTACACAGATGATATGTATGAAAAGTTACTGTTTACATATATTTACGCCTTTATTATCTGGTTGTTATTATTGTTGTATATTAACACTTTCGATAGCTTCAATACTTGATATTAAGTTTGTCCGATTGATTGAACTTGGTTTCTATGATTGATATGGGAGAAAAAGTTGTCAATTATGTCTGTTTAGGAATATTTTTGCATATAAAAGGTAAATATACAAATAAATTTTGGATTCCTTTCAACATATTGAATGGCTTCAATCCTTATATTAAACTGAGAGAAAATAATTGAATTTGGGTTTCATGATCGATATGTGTGAAAGCCCAAAATGCTTTTATTCTTTACATGTATTTAAGACTATTGTATTGTTACAGAGCTAAAATATAAATAAAAGAGATTAAAGTTATTCAAAATTTTAGTACTTGATTGACATGATTGATATACGTAAATAAGTTACGGTTGATATGTATCTTATCAAATAACATATATTTTTGTATAGTAAAATGAGATGGGCAGTACAATTGGACGTGTAAAATTTTTTCGCATAACAAAAAAAAAAGATGGATCTTACATGAATGTTGAAACATAAGAAATTGTGATAATTTGTATCATCTATTTTAACATAAAGTAAAAATGAACTCTTTTTAACATATAATCAATTAATCATTAAACTTGATAGTTGTATATGACAAATTCACAAGAGAAAGCGAAAGAGAAAATGGCTGCTGAAATTGAAATAGCATATGAAGGTTCTCTCAACATGCAAGAAATGGAAAATTGGATATTCATAGAAGTTGCTGGAAAAGAAAGGCATGGACGGGTTCGAGGCCTTAGATTGGGTCCAACACCATCTGCCTACTATGGACATAACTCTCCGTAATTTACACTCTCAGTAAGTCAATCTTCGTGAGACATTTCAATATTATGGAGGAGTTGCAAACTATGCAACAACGTTTTCAGCAAATGGAAGGAGAAAGAGAACAGGAGCGTGCCAAAATTGAAGAAGAACATGCTAGAATGGAGATAAAGCGTGCAAAATTTTAGCAGTTGCATGATTGATTTGATCATCTTATGAATTTTGTGCAACAACAATTTTCAAAAAATGATCTTGGTGCTCCATCAACTCAAGTATTATATTTAGTAAATATTAAAATTTTTAAATAAAAAATAAGCATACAATGAAGTGTTAAAAATTGTATGGTATTATTCAGTAGTTTGTTGAGCACGCTAGTGATCAAGGTGAAAAATTTTCTTCATCAATTGGCAGCCAACAAAATGTATGCAGTCATCAATTTCATACATTTTAATTTTTTATTTGGTTAATATATTTATCATATTTGAATATTATTATACTAATTATTAAACTTTGTATTAATTAGATGTATATTTAAACATGAATGAAGTTAATATTAATATCAGTTTCTGAATTTAAGCTCTTTGCTAAAAATAAAATTTATTATAAGAAACTAAAAAAAATACATTTTTACATAATGGCAGTGTTTGCGTTGGGCAATGCCACTAAATGAATAATTTAGTGACTTTTGTAGCATAAAACGTCACTATAAGTAGCGGCGTTATTTCCAGCAAACGCCGCTAGTTAGGTGGCATTTTTTATAGAAACGTCACTAAAGCAACGACGTTTTTCTCATAATAATGCAACTGAATTAGTAGCGCCCAAAAGATACAAACGCCTCAAATATTGAGGCATTTTCAGATTCAAATGCCTCTAAAGTAGCAGCATTTTCTGTTACAAATGCCGTCAATGCAACGACGTTTTTCTCATAAAAACGCAACTGAAATAGCGGTGACTAAAAGATACAAATGCCGTTAATATTGAAAAATTTTCAAATTCAAACACCTCTAAAGTAGCAGCATCTCAAAGATATAAACGTCGCTAAAATAGTGACGCTTCTGATATAAACGTCACTAATATTGAAAATTTTTCAAATTCAAACGCCTTTAAAGTAGCAGCGTCTCAAAGATATAAATGCCACTAAAATGGTGATGCTTCTGATATAAATGCCATTAATATGGAGGCATTTTTTTTAAAACACCGCTATTTACCACGATGCGTGTATAGGCGGCACTTTGCGTGACGTTTTTTCGCAAACGCTGCAAGCTTATAGTGGCGTTAATAAACACTGCTAAATGGTAAAAAAATGCTGCTAAAAACCAAAACCCCTGTAGTGGGTTAACCATTTACTTCATCATAATGAAATTCCTAGTATGGAATACAAGAGGATTTAATTGTCCTCTTAAAAGAATAGATATTAAAGATAGAATAAGAAAGCTAAATGTTGTTTTTGTCTGTTCAATAGAAACTAAAGCTAAGTAGTATAGAATATGACCTATTTTAGACAATCACTTTACTAATTAGAGTGTTTGTAACTTGCTATACTCTTGCCTAGTGAACAAGGATGTATCTCCATGGAAAAGATGATTCATTCGGATCAGCATGAAAGCCCAACTCCATTGCATTGCCAGAATCCATGTTGTATATTGAAAGAGGTTGACCTGCTAACTTTTCTCATTGTACAATTCTCTTTCTGTTAAACCGCATTTCTCCTCTATCCATAAAGACAAAATATAGGACCAAGATTGGCGCCAATAGTTAATCATGAAAGAAAGGAGTCACTAAGCCAAGATCACTGACTAATAGTAATTTAATACTAATATAATATTAATATAATATTACTAGAATAGAAAAAATAAAATAAAAAATATAATATAATATAAAGAAAAAAATTGTCTTTTTTATATATTCTTTTTTCAATTTCGATGCTACAACGAGCTTTATGTAATCAATTGAATCATATAGATATCTTTTCAACACAAAATAGGTTGTCAAAAGGATCTTAAAGAGTCACTAAAGCATGAATGTCAAGATCTTCAAAAAATGGATTCCTATTCGAAGAATGCGTAACCACATGGATAAACTCACACTAACTCATCAATTTAGGAACCAATTCAGGAAGCTTCATAATTACACAGAAGCATATACCTATCAATTTGGGATCCAATTCAGGATGTTTTATAACTACATAGAAGCAAATAATGGGAGGATATAGGTTCTTTTGAGATCACATTTAAAGATTGACATGTTAGAGTTCGTAAACCATATCATCATGTGTAATATTCTTTTTGAATCCTAGAAGTTCCTATTTTTTTGCTATATATGGAAGCAATAACTACATTGAGAGAAAATGTTTATGGTCACACCTATGGTCATTAAGAGGTTCTACATCAACCAGCCCTTGGATTCTAGCCGTAGATTTTAACGTTACAATTAACATTGCAGAAAAGTTTTGATTTTAATGGTTCTTAGGCTACTACTTCCAAGACATTGATTGTGTGATATACTCAAGAATTTTAATGGTTCTTTGATACTCAAAATTTGACTTCTAGAAAAATATAAAATTGAATGATGAGATTAAATGATGAGATTAATTAGAGATATTTGAGCAGTTATGATTGCTTAAAACATGGAAAGAAAAATTGGAAGCTGAAGAAAGAAGACATTGAAAGAATCTTGGGAACCTTTTCGCCACAATTAGAGTTAAATTCATGGCATTACATTTATGACATTGCATTCATGCTTAGGTTTTTTAGCATTGTTTTCATGGCATTTATTGGATGAGTAATAAGTTTTGTCACTTGAAGATATATTTTTAAGATAGGATTTTGATTCTCGATTGAGGATAATTTTTAGAGATAAGGATTTAATCCTTGATAGAGAAATGTTCCGAAAGAATGAGTGAAATGTTAATCCTTGATTGAGGAAAAAAGTTGAAGATAAGATTTTAACCTTCAAATGAAGGTAATAATTTCAAGGAAAGTTGGTAAACCTTAGTTAAGGAAAGCTTTTTTAAATTTTTCGAAGTTATTGAATCTCTATTTAAATGAGCCTATTAAATTTTCAAAAGTCGTTGAGCCTTTTATTTAAAAGAACTTGTTAAATTTTCAAAAGTCATTGAGTTTTTATTTAGAGATATTTATTATATTTTTTTAAAGCTGTTGAGCCTTTATTTAAAGAAGTATTTCATAATTTTTCCAAATTATTAAGTCTTAAAACTATAAAATACTCTTACCCTCCTTTATTTTGATGAAGGTAAATAGTGATAGTTATGGATTTGTTAAGTCTAGTATCTTTTATAAATAAATATAATATAATTTTTCATAAAAATTATAATATATATGTAGTAACTAATAACTTCAGCTTGTTTAAATGTGAATCAACTTTTTAATTTGCAAAGCATAAGAAAAAAAATAATTAGTACGCGTTTTCATACTTAAAAGCATTTATTTTTTGTTTTCATATTTGAACCCATTATTATTTTTACATTTTAAAAATTTATTTTTATTTTTAATTATTAAACATGTTTTCAATCTTGTTTATCATTTTCTAAAAGAATGAAAATAAAAAATACTTCTATTTTCCATAGGCAAACACTCCCTTATTTTTCCTTGAAAACTTTGTCCATTTTAATTCTCTATTTTCAAAATATTATGTCCACCTTTCCAAGAATAAATTTTTATTTTCTCAAATTTATTTTATTATTAATATTTTCTTTTCAAAGATTGACATGGATGCTCCACGATTTTGCTCGGTCTATAGATAGATGGAAGATAGCCGCTATGCATGATGAAAAGCTTTGGGAATAGTAACCGGCAAAAAAGAAAACCTTAGGGATTCTTCAAACATTCCAAGAGACTGGTATTAATTAATTAATTCTGGAAATTACGAACCACTAATATATATTTTTAACATTTTGTACAATTTAATATTCTTAAATTATATGAACACTAAGTTAACATACAGAAATTTCAGTTTCCAACTCAACAAGCACATACCATATTTAATTTAAAAACTAGACTCAACCCTAACCTGTACATATAAATACATGTTACTTGAAAATGGAAATCAAGTGAACAGCCTGAGACGATTAGTAATCCTTTGGCGGCATATTGGACAATTGGACACTCTTGACCCACATTCTCTGCATGTCTGCAATCATACAATTTCAATTGTTATTTCGAACCACGAAAAATTATGTTGAGAATTAAAGCCAACGGATACAAACAAAACATGGAATAACTCACCATATGCCCACAACCAAAGGCCAAGTCCTTTGCACTCGTTAGGCAGATTGGGCATGCCTACATTTACATAGCAGAAGTTATGGGGGAAATCACAAAAGGAACAATTATATAGTCGCAATTAAGCTTTAATAGAAGAGTGCAACATTTGGTCATACCTGGGTCCGATCATCTAACGCAGGTGATGATGAGACATTATTGCTTGGTACACGCTCCGGATGAGTAGGTCGACGGTAGGAAACTGGAGGAGGACGTGGAACTACTTTCTTCACTTTTCCAGTTCGTTGTCTTTGTTCAACGAAAATCATAAATAACGATTAATTATAATTTACAAATCACTTCAAAGTTGCTGTTACCACGTTTAGCATAACTCACCCAAGCAGACCAAGTTCCATGACTGCTTTGTACTGGAGAGGGATCTCCATCAGGGCAGCAAGAGCAAAAGCAGTTTCTTTCTCATCTAGAGTTTTATTTTTGGACATAATCTCAGTGAAGTTTACAAACTGCACAAAAGAGAGAAAAATGTAGTTACATTTCATCCGAATAATTAGCAGTATATAATATTTCAAGCTTTTGCTACTAGTACAAAACCTGGAAGTTGTCAAAGTCACGCGCGGGAATCTTATCGTCAAATTTCTTCATATCTTCCCAAGGTCCATCACCAACACCAACCAGAACAATCGACAGTGGGTATGAGCTGGAAATTGAAAGGAAAAAAAATCCTCTGCTTTAATACAACTGAATCTATACAATTGAATCTCTGCCTTCTTCAACAAGAATACATATTGCAAATATACAATCTTGCTTGTGTTCTTTCTCATATGATATTTGGAGGGGTAAGAGAATGTCTATTGTTGCTTCTGAAAATGGTTTCTTTGAAGGACTACTTTAATGGTCAAATTGAATATAATGTAACCAACTAGCTACTTTAATGGTCGACACTTGACAAAGAAATCAACACTTTACTCCTCAAGGGCCCAAACTTGAAAATGTAATAAAGGTAAGAAGGATCCTGCTACTTTTAACAAAAAATCCCATTACTATCATGACTATGATCGCTACTACCCTGCAAGTGTGAGCAGGGTAGCTCTGGAATACTAAATCTCAAATTACACGGTCTAACATCAGAATGGGAATGTGACATTTAATGGCTAAAATTACTTAAGACACTAGTTAGATATTTTCTACATACATACACTGCTGCATATATTCTAAATTCATAGCTGAAGCCTAAAGCAATAATAGTAAATCGATACATGTATAAGGTCCTACCTTGCATTGACAATTGAATTGATTGTTTTCTCTTCTTGTGGACTCAGCTCTCTGTCACTTGTATTAACACTTCGTGTGACCTTTACGGTTTACACAAAAAGAAAACAAATTTAGAGATACATTGTGCGAGAGAGAGAGAGAGAAGAAAAAAGGGTAAAATTGCAAATAAATAAGGGAGAGGGAGAAAAAGAAGGCATGAGATTTAACCTGGCCATCTGCAATGATAACTAACACATGGAATTGGCCACCACTGTTTTCCACAATGTCGATCGCAGCATCAATTACCGGTGCATAAGAAGTAGGTCCTATGGGACGACAAGCATGCTCAAAGCATTAACTTTTGACATAAATGAAGCATTCATGTTATAATGACCAAATGTGACAAACTGATTTGACAAGTTAAAATTTCCAAGACCAGGGAATATATGCCAACCAGCTAATCTCAAGTTCGGAATAATCTTTTTGTAACAGGCTAAGACTTCTTCAAAGCCATGGCAAGATGAATGATCATTGTGAAAGCTAAACACCTCCGTATCATGCGTGGTAGCTAAGACATTGCAGCCAACAACTTGATTAGATTAACAAATGGAAGGTAAAGATTGAGACATTTAACATCTGAAGCAGACACCATACCATCACCAAAGCCAAAACAAGGTATCAAATTGTCTTCATCGAATGGAGCCAGAGTCTTTCCAATTATCGAGATGGCTTTCTCATAAGGATTTGGTGTATCACCATTTGCATGTAGACTCCGGTTATTGAATGATACTTTGCCTTCAATAAAAATATTTACGTATTGGCTTCCAAGATACCAACCAGAGACAAATCAATTTGAAAAAGTAAAAAAAAACCATAAATATATTTCTTCAAATTTGACCTATAGTATTGGCTTCTGATTTTCTGCACTACATCAGGATTGCATGAGGCGTTCATTAAATAGGTGGAAAAAGCATCTTGAAAGAAGTTTTGGGAGAAATTTTCTTATGTTGGTTAGGTGGTATGCTACTAGACATTGTGACAAAGCAGTTTGGTCAATGGTTTATGTCAGCCAACATTTCTAAAGTCAAATAATCTGAGTAAGAAAAATTTTCTAGCAGAATTAGAGATGGTGTTTCCTGAACTTAGCATACCTGTCCATTCATTGCTTTTTGTGAAATCGATTCCAACCATGAGATTAGATGATTCTAGACCAGAGTCTCTTAAAGCTTTTGTAACCTGCAGTGAAAGATGAGGAGCTTATTCAGAACTTAAAAATCTCAAGATCAAATATGAAAGGAAAAAATTATCAGCATGACAGTGGATTTATTTTGACAATGCTAACAAGTTTTGATTCTTTGGCTCCAATCATATACACTTCAAACATGTTTGATAATTATGCTACAACAATTTGTGCTAACTTGTACAAAATATAAATTATTGAAAAGATAATTACAAACAAACTACCTACTACTTTCATGCATAACTCCTGTTCTTAATTGGTGTACAATAGGAGTTCATTCAACTGCTTACAATTACCAATCCCAAAAGTAAATTATCTTATTGATGACTTGAGAAAAAACAGACTTTCATTTTAGCCATTATAGGCATAGTGTATGTCATGATCGAAATACTTTCTACTTTGATGCCAGTAAAAGTCATGTCAACTCCAAGTGACGATCTAAATAAGGTAGTGGGGGCTATGCTCGTTTCTAAGCAAGAACCTATACCACACCAAAAAAAAAAAAAGTCTGTTAGGATGAAAATCATGTAAAAAACAATTTAGGCAAAACATAGAGCTTAAAACAGAAAAGAAAATAATGAAACTGCTAAATTGAAAACCGCAAAATAGAACTTTTAAACTAGGATATGAATTTATCGTTCACAAAGTATGTAGGCAACTTGGTTACATTGTCAAATTTCATGTAACCCACTCGTGAATGGTTGGCTCAAGTGGTTAAAAGAGTGTGCTCCTCTTTTTGTTACCTAAGTTCGAATTCGGAGAGGTTGTGGGAAAATAATTTTCAATGAATTCTCTAAGCCAGCGTATAAAATCTTGTTCGAATCAGCCCAAAAAGAGGATGATTAAGCAAAGTTCAAAAACCCATTTCCACTAAATAAAGAAAAGGGTTCTATGTAACCCACCAAAAAACTTTTCTTTGAATTAAGATTTGGTTATATTCTTCCAAATCCAAGTTCTATAAATTTGAAGCTTGCAAAAACTCCTACAAAGATTAGGAGATGTTTTTGTCGGCAAGATCTTCCCAAGCGAATGCAAAGCTGCAAACAAATTTGGTGCCAGAAACAAATTAAATTTCAACATTTGATAATATAAACAACTCTTGAGGGACATTTCTTGAAGGAAAAACTTTCACCTAATTATCAATTGCCACATATCCTATGAAATTTTTGACCAATTAAAACTTTCTGAATGTTGCTAAATAAATTAATTAAAAATTTTCTAAAATAACAAATTACGTATTCTCATGTGGAATTGATGACATAATTAAAAAATCATAAAATTTCACGTGTCATCAACCAAATTACTACACTATCAAGGCTTGATCAATCAAAATGTCATTTGGCAAATAAAAACACACATATGATTGGACCACTCAAATTTTATTTACAAGAAATTTAATTATCTCTAATTAAATTAAAATAATTTAAAAATATAATTAAAAGATTTTAAATGTTTTAAAAACTCTCTCACCTAATATTAGCTAACACTACAAATAGAGAACTCCAATAAATCATTTGACTAACAAATTTGGGAAAGAAAGCTTGAAGACAATTTAGGGAAACAAGTTCAACAAGGCAATTGAAAAGAAGATCTAAAAAATTAAAACAAGTTCTGTTCGCTCTGAAAATTTTTTTTTTTTTTATTTTCTATTTTTACTTTTTAGAAAATAGTTTTTATTTTCTATTTTTTGTTTTCTAAAAAATGTATTTGATAAACAAAAATAAAAATTATTTTCTAAAAATACACAAATAAATAAAATATTTAATGATATTACTATTAATGTTATCTAATTATAAATATAATATATATTATTAATTAATAACATTAAAAAGTATTTAAATATAATAACTTGCAAAACATAAGAAAAAAAGTAATGTACATCATTTATTTTCACAATTGAAAACATATATATATATATATATATATTTTTTTTGTTTTCATATCTCAACCTATTTTCATTTTGGTTTTCTAAAAACTTACTTTCATTTTCAATTATCAAACACATTTTTACTCATATCTTTCATTTTTCAAAAAATGAAAATTGAAAATGATTCTATTTTCTGAAATGAAACACTACCTTAAAGTTCCACAAGTTTAAAAGGTAACACCTAAGGAATGAAGTTTATAGAGTTCCAACAATCAAATAAAAAAAACAACTTGGGTAAAGAATACCTAAAGATAATTTGGGGCAAGAAGATCTAAAAAAATTGATAAAATAGAAATTTTAAAGAATCATAGTCTCCTAAGTCATCACAAGTCTACGAATGATGATTTGAAAATTAAAGTCTAAAGATTCAAGAATCCCTAAATTGGGACCAAATTGCAAAATTTTGAAGAATCTCTAAATTGAAACATATATCCAAACTAAGTTTTCAAGACTCCCTTAATTTTGTACCAAATTTTAATATTTTTAAAAATGTTAAAATTTTAGAATAAAATTTCAAGGCTTCAACTAACCCTAAATTTTGAATCGAAATTTATTTAATTAAAAAATAAGTCATTAAGAACTTTGAAGTAAATTTTTGCATAAGGAAAGAAAAGAATCAAAAGATTTTCAGAGATTGTACTATATATTACAAATTTTACCTATTTTATTTTCAAACATGAAATTTGTATACAAGTTGACCTAAAAACCTTCACTTGAATCCTAGCCAAAGAGTAAAGCATGATGAATATTGTGATTAATAAATTTAAATGTTTTATTAGATTTTAATTTTCTAATAAAAATAATAATTAATTTCAAGATATGATCTGGCCAAAAAAAAAAATTTCAATGTATGATTTCAGTGCAAATGTGTTGCACATACATGAAGGATGGTAGTGCTCTAGTGCAATCAAAGACTGTATTGTCACAATTAAAAATATCGTAAGTATAGATGTGAGTGGGAGAATGGACGCCATTAATTGTTCAGCAGTTGGGATGCTGGACCACCAAAACTAAGAGATGCAAAGCTGTAGATAGAAAGAAAGAAAGCCCCACAACTCTGTTCTAACGTATCTGTTCTCTACTAAATTATTTCCTCTTTATCCTTTGATTTTTATTCCTATCTAAACTATCTTCTTTTTTTTTTTTTCTCAAATCTTATCTCACTTTGTTAAAAGGTGAAAAAGCTACACGAAGGTCACGTGGATGCAAAGCTGAAGAAAGCATGTTGTCCTAAGCATGAAAACGCTTTCACATTTGATTTTAACTAGCACTAGCCCGGTCATGTCTGCAGACAAGGACCACAAAATAAATAAATAAATTTCAAATTATTTTAGGATATATAAAAAAATCGAAGAGTTAATATGATAAAAAATCAGAAATTATTTTATTTGAATTGAAATTTTTAAAATTTACAATTAACAGAATGATATATATTTTTTAAGTATATTCAAAAAAACGAAAAAGAATTATTTAAAAAAATAAAATGTGTAAATCTTTTAACTTTATTAATAAAATTAGGGATTGGATATGTATAAAAAAGAATAACTCATAAATTAAGCAGTTTGAAAAGTTTGGATTGGATATGCATTCCACAAATTCATTTCCGGTGTTTATTTCATCTTCAAATAATAATTACTAGACCCTAAATTTAATAGAAGTTGTTGAGAATTGAAAAATGAAGGCAAAAAGTAAAGTCTAAGAGAAATAATAACGTATAGTTGTAACTACATAGTTAGAGTCCGTAATGATTTCTTGTCTCAATGTAAAGCCATGAGCATCTTTAATTTGAATTTAAAGGGAAACAAAAAACTATTTCTTTGATTAATTTTGAATATTGTACATGCATTTTACAATATATCTCTTCTCTCAAGGAAAATATATATTTTTTTATTCTTTCTTTCTATATGGTCACGTCACCCAGTCACCCAAATCAACTTTACTTTATTAAACAATTCACCGTGTCCCCACCATTCAATTAAATTAAATAAGATGACACTGTCTTGAAAGTTACGCACAAAAATATTACTCTCTATTTTTTTTTAATTTTTTTAGACGTTTAAAATTATATTTTTTTTTAATATTTAAAATTTTTATTTTTATATTTTAAAATTATGTTTTAAATTTTAAATTTTTTAATATTAAAAATTATAAAATTTTAATTTTATAAAAAATTGAATTTTAATATTAAATATATTTAAATTAAAATTTTAAAAAATTTTATAAAAATTTTTAAATGATAAACATTTTAAAAAGAAAAGAGTAATTTGATTTTCCTTTTGTTTATAAAAGAAAAAAAATACTCAATCATTGAGCCTTTTAAAATTTTGCTGTTTGTTGAACGAAGCACTTTGCCCCTTTCTATGGTACTACCTTTTAGCTTGCTTGACAAAATTATGTACAGTACTCCAAAGTTTCAGGCCCACTCTTATTGTTATTATTATTAAGATAATTTTTGAAAAAATAATTTTTTGGAGGCCAAGACTAACAGATATGGTTGACTAACAATGGTAGACCTGATCCAAAACTTGGAAACTTCACTGCAATCATTTCTGTGCTTTTTTGCAAGCTAAAACCACAATCTTTTTTATCCGCTAAAAAAAAAAGGGAGATTATACTACCTAGCTGATTACACCGTTCAAAATATACCATCAAGAAATTAAAAAAAAAAACGATTTTTTGAAATCAAATTAAAGTAAAAGGAGAAAAGAACCTGGTCTAGGGTTGAGAAATTATCAGCAATAAATCCATACTTCTGCTTTGCTGATTGCTTTCTCTGTAGCTTGGAAACATTATTATTAATTTTACTAGTGCTTCCACTCCCTCCTACTTCCAAAAATGAAGCTTGCGGCGCGGCCATGGCAGGTGGGAAAGAGTTATTGGTTGATCTTCTTCCTCTTGATGATCCGTTCACAGCAGGCAGCTTCTTACGCTTCTGATTAGAAAGAAAATTACCCATCTCATCTTCTTCTTTGATATGAGAATTAGAAAAGAAGAAGAAAGACGAAGAAGCTGCGTTTATAAGACTAAATCTAGTAAAGCAAGGACAGGGCACATGCTTACCTCCTTTCAACTTATTTATTTAATAAACAAGACCTCGTAGCCTTATGAGGCGCGAAAAGAATCAACCACAAAACAACATAACCCTGGCTGAGGTCCGCCCATAAATTTATGCAAAAATTCTTTTCCTCGAGCCAATTGTAATTGTAAGGGGTACTTTTATATCAAAAGGTAAAATAGTTTTTTTTCTTTCGTAAAAGATAATTAATTATTTTTATTTTTTTAATTTAATCAACATATTAAGTTGATTTAAATTTACGAAATTACATCGATTCAAACATCTTATCAACATATTAACTAAATTCCTCTAAACAGGACTCGTCACTTTGCTCAGTTCACCTTGGCTCATCAAGTTACCCTTGACTTTAGGGTTAATTTTAAATAATTTAGATTACCCAAAAACTCTTACCTTATAGGTATAAATAGTATTATTTAAATGTTAGTTCACCATTTTATTTTTTTAATACTTCTTTCTACTTGTTTATTTTCTTTTTTTTTTTTATAAACTAATGTCTGGTTTAAGTATCGAAACACAAATATTTGAACCATTTTTAAGTTTTGTCATTAACTGTTCTCTTTCTATTCTCTACTGATTTTAGGGTTTCACCTTTAAAAGACAACTTAACATTAATATTTAACGTGCTAAATAGAAGGCTTCTCATTCAATCGACCTAAAAATAGCATATTGCTTGAAAGAAAGTTGTTAAGGAAAGAGAATAGCTATCGCAGTTATAATTAAAACTCATATCAACCAACCTAATGTAGACTAACTTACCATGACAAGCCTTATAATTAAGCAGGTCTTAGCCCTAAACCAACAACTACAATCCTTCAAAGAAATGATCCAAAATCTCAACCTATTACAAACATCTAAAGCATCTAATCTAAACACCCTAAACAACCCTTATCGAGAAAAGTTGCCAAGCTATGATGATACTGCAACATCCTCGTCTGTTGAAGATAAGGAAAAGGTCACACCCTTGACCAATTATCACAACCACACCTTGACATAAGTCACCACCCAAAAGTCCAAACAAATTGTCCTAAAGCCCCAATTGAACAAAGAACTAAAAGTTCGAATGCAGGCCATGGAAAAAGAATTTAAAGGAAAGGCCTTGCATTTGATGACAAGTTGAAATTTTTAAAGGCTCGCCTTTCACTGACGAAATAAATTACACCATGCCCTCTAAAAAAGTTCAAGATGCTGACATTGGAAACATACGATAATACAACTGACTTTTTTGATCATTTAGAGCTTTATTGGACTAAAATGATGTAAGAGGCTGATAAAGCTTTGATGTGTAAAGGATTGGCCACCACGTTTAAAAGGGCAGCTTGATCCTAATACTATAGTTTAGAATCGAGGTCATAACCACAATCAAATAGCTCAACTTTCCTTTTTGTCCAAATTCATTGGTAGCCAACGAACAAAAAAAAACTACATTAAGCTTGATGTCAATCTACCAAGACCGAAATGAGTATTTGAAAGATTATGTCATGCATTTTAAAACGAAAGACTTTCAAGTGAAAAACTTGGAATAGACCGCTATTATCGTTCCTTTGACCAGTGAACTCAGTGATATAAAGTACTATTTCAAGCTCACCATTTCTCTAAAACTACCAAAAATGTTAGCCAATGTGCTACTTATTGCAAATAGATACATAAATGCCAAAGTTACAATGAAAAATAACTGAGGTGAAAGAGGCTCATCCCTTATACTTGATTCAAGAAAAAAAAAACTACAATCCTTTAATAGAAAGAAAACCAAAATACCTAAAGGATAAGAGCCCGAGTAGACAAAGAAACTACACTACGTTGATACCCCATAAAAAAGATTTTGATGCATGTTGAAAGGAAGTCCAAGCTCAAATGGCCAAAGCCACTGAGACACAACACCAAAAAAAACCCAATAAAGAGGAGTGTTTTCTATAGAAACATTGGTTATAACACTGAAGACTACATCGACCTGAATAATGAAATTGATAATTCAATCAAAAGAGGTCATTTGGGTGAGTTTATTAACTGATCAATATAGGGTCAGGGTAAAGTAGATTTTAGAAGAAGAAATCAAACTAAAAGGACAGAAAGAGATCAGAAGAATCGAGAAAGAGGAATTAAGGTAGTGGTAATCTAAGGAATGAGTAGGAAAAAAATGAAGAATAAGCTATTGATAATCAACCTATTGTAGGCATCATTAATGTGATAATTGGAGAAAGTTCTCATGGCCCTTGCTTGTGTTTTGTATGTCATTTCCTCCGTTTGCTTGTCAAGTAATCGATTGGGTAGGTTGTGGATCGATGTGCATGGATGTTGCCACTTATATGCAATGGGCATATGAATGGTGCTATAGTTGTACGTGTTGGCAGGCTCCATGCTCGATGCATCAAATTGTTGACCCATCATCCTCTTCAATCTCTCTCTTATGTGGTTATCGTACCTTAAAGGTGTAATCAAGATCCTGTGTTGCATACCTAAATTAATGAAAATCGAATGTCTTTCTATCCCTCATCTATCTTGTGTCTTTAAGGGCTACAGGACAGACCTCAATCATGCATCGTGTCCTAAATGTGCCACCCAAATATCCGTGGTTGCATTGGTGCACTGGTGTTCGATCGTGTTCTTGAATAGAGAAGGTTTTGTGAGCATGGGCTCTCGGCCCTTATTTATCCAATGCTATGCATTTTACCTGCTCGATATGTATGACGCTTATGCTCCATGTTGGCTTTCTTAGTCACTTAGTAGGCGTGTTAAGGCCCATGTGGTGCCAATGTCCTAAAAAAGTGCTACCCGATTGATCTTGCTGTTAGTCATATGCTTGTCTCAAAGATTAAGCCATGTATGTGTAAGTAAGAACTAATTCAAACTATGAAACTATGAATGGCTCATTAAATTAGTTATAGTTTGTTTAATGGAATCTACTACTCAAATAACCATAGTAATTTTAGAGCTAATACATACAACAAACCTTGACTTTTAGAAGAGATGCATTTATAAGACAAAAAGGTCTACACACGTTTTGCCTGTTGCTCTGATAATTCATGATAACTCGACTAATTATACAACTTTTATACCAATGATGCATTATTCAAATTTTTACCTTATCAACTTTTGATGGTAGGATAGTGGCCTATTATGGTGATATCGGGTGATGGAGAAAAGGTTTGATTCCAAATAGAAAGCCTGAGAAATAGCTATCACATCTAGAAAAGGTAATAGGAGTGCAAGTTACCCAATCCTGACACAAAAAGGTAGTGATAATAAATAATAATACTAGGCTTTATGAATTTAATAATTGGAATAAGTATAATCTAAATCTTTTAACGAGAATCCATTGAAAGGCAAGTCTGGTGCCCACAGTGTGGTAATTTCAACTCCAATAGTGTATATTTAAGTTGTTACAATTAAAAAGCTCATAGTTGGAACTAGGCTTGGGTCATTCGATTCGCTTCATGATGAGCACCAGTTTACTTATCCTTACTGTTGATGATGCACTCTTAGCCTTAACTAGCCAAGTTATTCTTTTGATGCTGTTAGTTTGAAGAAAATTAGAGTGCTTAAAGTAGGCCTATCCTTATATACATTAGTATAGGATAACATCATAAGATTTCAGTCCCATTGTATTGGCTTTTGAGATCAGAGTAATGATTAAAAGGGACTGTTGGGGGCATTTGTATTTTATAGTCAAAGGTAAAATTTTTGGATTTATGAAAAATGGACAACTATGAAAGCATTTGCCAAGGATGCTTTCATTAATCAAGAAAAAAGTTGAGGGCTCAAAGATGATCACTGTCTTAGTCTTAACCATAAATGATGCTGACCAAAAATCAACGGATGTTACTTTTAAGACTCTGCTAGCACCTTATAAGAAATCAAAGTCTTTAGATTTTGAGGGCAGTATGGTCGCATGGTTGAAACTTAAAGGAATTGATGGAAGGGCACCACTAGGAATGGAGCTTACAACTTAATTTGACTCAACTTGAAAAAACTTACTAGGTCCAGATATAGTAAAGATTAACAAATTGATAGCTCTTTTTTTATTCCATGGGTGGTGGTGCATGGCTATTCTTAGTTGGTAGTGATTTGTCTTGTTAATTCCATTAATGAATGAGACCTCAGCCTGCTAACTAGCTACAAGGAGGTGATCTTTCATGGCTAGCTTTTTAGAGGGACTATGGCCACTTAAGCTAAGAAGTTTGAAGCAATGCCAGGTTTGTGATGTCCTTAGAAGTTTTGGGCTGCACAAGCGCTACACTGATATATTTAATGAATCTATGGCCTTAGCTAACAGGCTGAGGAAATTTTTGAAATTTTCTCATTATGGGGATAGATTATTGCAATTGTTGGTCTTCAACAAGGAATTCCTAGTAAGCGTGAGTCATCATCTTGTGTTGACTACATTTTTGTTTTTTGTACACATCATTTATCATTCTTACTAATTGAATGGTTCGATGAAGTGTTTAAATCATGGCCACATAGATGGTTCACTGCCTGTGACATCGTAAAAAGTCCACAAACCTTATTATTTAGAGGAATGAGCAGTCATAACAAGGTTTTCATAGGTGAACCTGTGGAAGGATCACTGTCAAAACCCACTCAATGAACGACCTATAAATGCTTTAACAAAACATGAAGAAGCGAGGGTGCCTCTATGACCTAAGCCCTTTTTGGTCCTAGACAGGCACGATGATCACTTCATTTCACCTTTCTGATGGGTGAAGTGATTTGTATCATCACCCATGATTGAATAATAAACCTTTAGCGTGATCATGCCAAGGAATCAAAATGAAAAAAGTGCATATACCATTACCATCTCATTTCTAGTAGGTGCATAGGTGGCATTGTGACTTTTTTTGTTGTGAAAAACCAAAATAACTTTCGACAATAGATAACTCAACTCTTGAATTGATGAAAAACATAGCGAAAGGTGATACTTGGTGTGAATTGTAAAATCCCATAAACCATTGAGTCTTTGAGCACAAGATATGCCCCAAGCCATTAGGCTTAGAGCAAGCTTGATAATGTGTCATGCATCGTCGTCTTTTTCAGCCTCTTGCTTATCGAGTTTTGAGTGAAAGGGGTAGAAAGATGGCCTTCTGTGATCTCGTCGATTGTGATTGGCCTAAAAGCAAGTCATCGACAATGATAGCA